GAGGGAATCCTGTGGTTTTCTTGAGTCTACCCCTGCGTATTGGGTGATTTAAAGGATGTGAGAACTTTCTGGTAAATTCTCCTGGAATACTAGCCTCCCTTAAGCCTTGTTCATGTCCTACTGCTCAAATGTATTCAAATAATATTATTGAACCTCTGTCAGTGCGCCTAATCTGTTGCATTCTTACTCCTGTCTCTACTGCCACAGAGGAGGGGAGGGTAGGCCTTTGAACATGAAGGAAGTACACATGAGGCTGAATGCTTTTTCATCAATAATAATACTGCAGAAGCTAGGGGGCTAAAAGAATTGACCATTTGAAGAATCAATAAAATCACAATTTGATAAACAGCACAATTATACCTTTGCTCTTTCTTCAAATGAAATCTTTACAGAGATATTACAATCTTTATCAAGCACCAGGATCATGCAAAGGAAAAGAAGAAAATTCTGAAGATAAAACTATAAAGGATATGTAAAACCAGCAGGGAATTTCAACTTTTTCCTTATGTAAGAATCAAGAACAATTAGGCTATTTATTTTTCTTAGTTTTCTTTATAGACTGCTTTATCCTTGAGTTATACCACTAAATTCTACTTTTCAGCCAAAGGTAGTATTTTATAGCTCATATAAACCTGTTAGAGAAGGCATTTTATTATACTGAAAGAGGCTACAGGGCCTTAACTGCAATGCAGTGAGCATGACAATATCCTATTTTATTGCTGCTTGTGAGAAAAAAATATCCTGAGCACTCACCAGTTTGGCATAACCTCGATGATCTAGAATGAGATTTTCTGGCTTGAGGTCCCTATAAATGATTCCTTTGGAATGCAAATAGGCAAAAGCTTCTACCACACATGCTGTATAAAATCTGGTTGTAGAATCTTCAAATGAACCTCTGCAAAAGGAAAAGAATGATACCAGTAACACTCAACATGCACAGAAACATTTCTTGGAGCATTTCAGTATCATGGAGGAATAAGCCATTGGGTGCTGCTAGTCATGATGGCTATATACTATCTTTAGTTTTAGAGACACGTGTCCCTCAGGGACGTCAGCGAAATAATGGATTCCTGTGCATTCTGAAGTCTGAATCTGGGCATCTCCTCGCACAATTTTGTTCATTCGCTTTTTTCTTGTTGAAGAACTTTCCCAATTTTGTTCATTTGTAAATGCACATTCATGCAAGTCTGCATAATGCAGACTTGCACTGATGTGCACTTGCAAATGAACAACATTCTCATACAGAACAGTCTGGTTCCTCAGTGAGAGGACAGCGGGAGGTAAACGCTTGACACAAGCTAAAAAAGAGATTTAACAAAGTCTGTCCACCCCTGCTCTGCCATTTGCTGGGGAACACAAGAGCGTGCTCTTGCACTCACGCCCTGCTTCCCATAGGTATGTGGTTGGCCACTGGGAGGAGGATGCTGGTCTAGATAGGCCATTGCTCTGATCTTGCACATTTCTGCTTGTGTCCCTTAAATGTTGGGCTCTAAGCTTGGTCATGCTCAGAGGAGACCCTTTGAAACCGATCGGACTCAAGTGAGTCTTGACCGATTGATTTATTTTAGTTTACTTTTGATTTAGCTTTACTCCAAGCATGACACAGGCAAATAGTTAACTTGGTTCAGAATTCATTGTCTTAAATGATGTTAACTCTAACAGGAATCTGCATGAAGAGTCAATTATATTAGCTTAGGGACCATTTCCTCCTATAAGAACTCAAATTAGATCATCTTCTAATGCCTGTATGAATTGCCATCTGATACAGGGTGAGGTAGGACTTTTCCAAGACTACTGTCCACTGCTGGTGCTGAAGGTGGAAAGGGGACAGAGACACATTTTTTATCTTCACTGCTGCTAGCACACCAACCTGAGCAGGTGGTACAGGTATTGGGGCTCTTTGGTTTGTGGAAGAAAGACTGAACCACACTTGGTTGTGAAGATACAATCAGAGATGCTAGGATACAGGCTGACTTGTAACTGAGCTCAGAGTAAACAAATGTCTTTGTAGAATGGCTGAAGAATTAGTGCTGTTTGGTAATTATGATTCAGACCCGTGGAGGGGGTTATCTTGACCATAACTGTGTTGACCCCCTCCTAAACAAGGGAGACTAAAAATTGGGGGCGGGGCGGGGCTGGCACAGTGGCACCTGGCTGAATATTGCCAGGGAGCATGTCTGACGGTGTGTATGGTCTGGAGAAGATGCTCCACCATGTGAAAGTAGGCCTCAGATTATATCTGGTCTACCAGAGCTTGTTTTTTCATGAGGTAAAAGTACTCTGAGGCAATGCAGTTAAATATTTAAATATATGCAGGATTTTAAGTTTGGAATGACTGCACTGTTTTCGATTGGCACCATTAAGTTTACAGACTGAAAATCATAGTTCAACCATTTTCAGCAACATTAAGCATAGGAAACCACCTGAAGGGCTTGTGGTGTCAGGCGAGCATATTTCATGTATTTAATGACTTGACTAGCAGCCCACTGGCTGCCAGAGAAACCGTACTGCGAAACAGCTGTAGGGTTATAGTGGAATCATCTTTCTCTGCTTGTTTGCTTAGTTGTTGAAATATCATAGGGTTTGTTTTAATGCAACATGTAACTTTCCCACACTTTTTGCTTACTTTTGCTTATTCCAGTGGGAGCACTGATATCACAAGTTTATCATGAGGCAATCACAAAACTGAACATCATTCCTAGATATTACGGTCAGCTGCCAAACTAAGATTTACCGTCTATATGGTCAAGAGTGAAAATAGCACTCTTGAGAGTCTGCTGGCAGCGTACAGTCAAAAGAACATTTACAGTTTATTCAGACATTCAGAAAAATATATGCAGAATGTAGGCAGTCCCCAAAGGGACTACAGAGAGGGAGTCTGTACAAGAACCTGTCAGTTACATACAATTTGGAAGAAGGGGGATCGCAATACACAGTATGTTAGAGGCACATTAGGATAAAACAATAGGGATTTGAGAAAACACAAAGTGAAGAAACTTCAGGACAGGCAAACAATTAGCATCTCAAAGAATGAACCTCCAATGGACCGGCCTTTTATGTCAGGGGTATTAGCATTTCTAAGGTATATATGGGAAGCAATTCTTGCAACATGAATTCCTGACCTGACCAGTCTCAAGCTGTTCTTACAGTGTTAGGCTTTTAGCACTGATATTATGGGAAACCTTTTGGTCATTTTGTTTTAACGGAACAAATAAAAGCAATTTTGTTATGACCAATAAATAAAAAATATAGCCATGGCAAAGTGGCTTGCGCAGCACAATGAAGCTATGAGCTATGCCATACAGAGGCACCTAAGATGGACAGGTCATAGGAGAGAGCTCTGACAAAAGGTGATCCACTGGAGAAGGAAATGGCAACCCACTCCAGTATCTTTGCCATGAAAACCACATGGATACTATCAACAGATAATGAGAGATGATGCCAGAAGATGACCCCCTCAGGTCGGAAGGTGTCCAATGTGCTACTGGGGAAGAACCAGAAAGAATGAAGTGACTGGATCAAAGCCGAAAGGACACTCAGTTGTGGATGTATCTGGTGGTGAAAGGAAAGTCCAATGCTGTAAAGAACTATACTCCATAGGAACCTGGAACGTAAGATCTATAAATCAAGGTAAACTGGATGCGGTCAAACATGAGATGACAAGACTGAAAATCAACATCTTAAGAATCAGTGAACTAAAATGGACAGGAATGGGTGAATTTAATTCAGATGAGCATCAGGTATACGACTGCGGGCAAGAATCCCTCAGAAGAAATGGAGTAGCCTTCTTAGTCAATAAAAGAGTAGGAAAAGCAGTACTGGGATACAATCTCCAAAATGACAGAATGATCTCGGTTCGAATCCAAGGCAAACCATTCAACATCACAGTAGTCCAAGGCTATGCCCCAACCACTGGTGCTGAAGAGACTGAAGTTGACCGGTTCTATGAAGGCCTACAACACCTTCTAGAATTAACACCAAAAAAGAGATGTCCTTATCATCATGGGGGATTGGAATGCTAAAGCAGGAAGCCAAAAGATAACTGGAATAACAGGCAAGTTTGGCCTTGGAGTACAAAATGAAGCAGGGCACAGGCTGGTAGAATTTTGTCAAGAGAATACGATGGTCATAGCAAACACTCTTTTCCAACAACCCAAAAGACGACTCTACACATGGACATCACCAAACGGTCAGCACAGAAATCAGATTATGTGCCCTGCAGCCAAAGATGGAGAAACTCTATACAGTCAGTAAAAACTAGACCAGGAGCTAACTGTGGCTCAGATCATGAGCTTCTTGTTGCAAAATGTAGGCTTTAAGAAAGTTTAAGCAGGCTTTAAGAAAATTTAAGAAAGTAGGGAAAAGCACTAGCCCACTCAGGTATTACCTAAGTCATATTCCTTATGAATATACAGTAGAGGTGACAAATAGATTTAAGGAATTAGATCTGATAGACAGAGTGCCTGAAGAACTATGGACGGAGGTTCACAACATTGTACAAGAGGCAGCAACTAAACCATCCCAAAGAAAAAGAAATGCAAGAAAGCAAAATGGCTGTCTGAGGAAGCTTTACAAATAGCTGAGGAAAGAAGGGAAGCGAAAGGCAAGGGAGAACAGGAAAGATGCAAACAACTGAATGCAGAATTCCAGAGAATAGCTAGAAGAGATAAGAATGCCTTCTTAAATGAACAGTGCAAATAAATAGAAGAAAGCAATAGAATAGGGAAGACTAGAGATCTCTTCAAAAAAAAATTGGAGAATGTGAAGAGCAACTAAAGAGCCTCTTGATGCAGGTGAAAGTGGAGAGCCCAAAAGTTGGTTTGAAACTCAGCATTAAGAAAACTAAGATCATGGCATGTGGTCCTATCACTTCCTTGCAAATAGATAGGGAAGCAATGGAGGTAGGGACAGATTTTATTTTCTTGGGCTCCAAGATCACCACAGACAGTGACTGCAACCAAGAAATTAAAAGACTCTTGCTCCATGGGAGGAAAGCTATGACAAATCTAGACAACATACTAAAAAGCAGACACATCACCCTGCTGACAAAAGTTCGTATAGTCAAGGCTATGGTTTTTCCAGTTGCAATGTATGGCTGTGAAAGCAGGACCATAAGGAAAGCTGAGTGCCGAAGAATTGAGGCCTTTGAATTGTGGTGATGGAGAAGTCCCTTGGACTGCAGTCCCTTGGACTGCAAAGAGATCAAACCAGTCGATCTCAGAGGAGATCATCCCTGACTGCTCTTTAGGAGGCCAGATACTGAAGATGAAACTCAAATACTTTGGCCACTTAATGAGAAGGAAGGACTCCCTGGAGAAGAGTCTAATGCTGGGAACAGTAGATGGCAAAAGAAGAAGGGGGCGGCAGAGCATGAGGAGGCTGGATGGAGTCACTGAAGCAGTCGGCGTGCGCTTGAGTGGCCTCTGGGGGATGGTGGAGGACAGGAAGGCCTGGAGGAGTGTTGTCCATGGGGTTGCAATGGGTTGGATGCGAATTTGTAACTAGCAACAAACAAAACAAAACAAAACAAAACCTTAGAAATCTTAAGATATAAATTAAAATATCTTAACAGAATGACTCTTTGTAATAAATAATGCAGTTTTTTTTACAACCATCTTGCTTGCTGCTTCTATCCTTCAAATTCATTTCAGAGGAAGCACTGCAGCAAACAAGCCTATGGCTTCTAAACAGTATTCTGGAAGGTCAAAGAATATTTTGTATTTCCAATTGGTAGTCAGTGGTCTGGCCTTGGACCTGAGGATTGCCACTCCAGCTACCCGTCCACATCACAACTCTCACGGAAGGAAGCGTGTTGGCTACATCTCTGAGGTCAGCAACACAACTTCACGAATAGGTAAAGAGGGACATTTTGCTGGGTGAGGAAGGCTTGAGACTGGAGAGACCAGGATGTAAGTTATCTTTAGCCCCTTCCAGCCCACCCTGTGAAATGCTGTCACTAGGTAGATGGAGAGATAAACTTCCCCTCCACTGCCCCTCTTATCATGTGTCAGAAAAGTATAAGCCTCTGAGTTTGGGCATTTACCATCCTGTAATAAGATTGCACCCTTAAACACTAAACTGAAGCTTACAAAGTACAGTGGTACCTCGGCTCATGAACACTTCAGTTCACGACCAAATCAGGTCGCGAACAAAAATGTCATTAAAAAATTGACTTCGGTCGTGAACTCCGCATTGGAGCCCGCCACAATTGCAGCCATTCCCCCCCCCCCCCCGAGTGGGGAGATGGCCACAATCGTGCTGGCGGGGGGGAGATGGCCGAGATCACACCTGTCTTTCCCTGCAAGAGTGCACCCATGATTGCACCCGTCTTTCCTGCACAAGTGCAACTGCGATCTCGCCCCCCCCAGCACAATCGCACACGTCTCTCCCCCCAGTGTGCCCATGTTGGCGCCCGTCTCTTCACCCCCCAGCATGCTCACGTTCACACCCATCTCCCTCCCCAAGCGTGCTGGGATGACGGGTGCGTGCAGGGATGACGGTCGCAAGGAGATGGCCATGCTCGTGCTCAGGGTGGAGGGTGGGAGATGGCTGAGATGGTCACTTTGCTCCACATTTTTCTGATTAAAAAAATAGTTACAGAACAGATTAACCTTATTTACATTGAACCTTATGGGGAAATTTAACTTGGCTCACAACCAATTTGGGTCACGACCAGAGTCCTGGAACGGATTAAGTTTGTGAGCCAAGGTACAACTGTATTGATACAATCACGTCATTGCTGAGAATAGATACCATTTAAATAATATTTTACCATGTCCTTCCTCCAATTTATAGAGTCTGTTTTAAATTGGTATAAAGGGTGGACCAAAAGTAGCTATACAATACTGATCAGGTCATGTTTAGTCTCTTAAGTGCTCAAAATGTCTTTCATCAACATTGCAACATTTCTGGAACCTGCCCCTGCCACAGTGGCACAAATTCTACCAATGCATTCTATAAATGCTTCCAAGACTATTTCAATTTGTTCACTGTGTGAGGTATTCTATGACCCGATCAGTACCATATACCTACCTTTGACCCACCCTGCATAACACATTCCAAGAACAGTTTTAGTCAGACATTTCTATGAAATATTTCTACTTACATCTTGTTAAGAAATCCTATTTAAAGGTATATAACATAAACTTACATATTTTCCTGAAGTGAATGCTGCTTTGATACCACAATTGTATCAATTAATGGATACCCTAAGGAACTAAAAGATGTATTGTCTGCAAAGCTAGATGGCAGTAGATACCATGCATATGGAAGAAAAAGAACTTTTAGAAAAGAATATGAAGGCCTTAAGCAAATAGTGTTTTTTCCCTCCCTAAACTTAGCAACTGGTAATTTGGATTTTACCTTTCTGTTTTTTAAAATATTCATTAAAGATGTTTTTTTTAAGATGATAAAAAACTAGTAATTTTCACATCCTTATTCATGCTTGCTCTGTTTTTCTGTGATTTATACCAACAAACTTTGAATACAGTAATTAATACCTAATTTGTCTTACAATACTTTACTTTTTACTTCTGCAATTTCTATCTATTGCTTTGTATTCTGACATCAATAGAGTTGTCAGTCATTTATGCTCACTAACACCATGACCTTGCACATGTCTCCTTAAGAAGTCAGTCCCTCTGAGTTCAAGGGAAACCTAACAGCAGATTCATTTATGGGTCTGTGCTAGGTGCTTGCTAACTGTAGACTTGCGAACTCCAGGCTCAGCCTGAGAGTGGCTTCCACTGGAAAACTATTATAAGTAGCACTTTACTTCTATTTGTTTGATTGCATCACCTCCTTGCCTGAAACCAGCCAGTGAAGCAAATTACGTCATAAAATTTTGAAAGCATATTAATAAATCATTCCTCGAAGTGGTAAAAATCTAGACGCTAAAACATCCCATGTCAACAACAGGATTATGACACACTCAAAGTTTCTTTAGAACAAAAGTGTTTCACTAAAGCCCGGAACCAATTTCTTCTACACATGCCATGGGACTCTGGATTTGCATTCATCATCCAGTAGTACTTTTGGATTTCTGCATCCTTGACAAATCACTTTTGAAACTAACCCATGACTTACCTAGGAGTAACCCTCATTGAACTCAGACTAACTTATGAATAGGCCGGTATAAGAGAACAGTACAAGGCTGCAACCCTATGCTTACCTAGCTGAAGCCCTACTGAACCCAGTGGGACTTATTTCTGAGCAGACTCTTACAAGGTTACACTGTTAAAGGCACTGCAAAAACAGTATTCTGTTCAAAGAAGGGGAAAGACCAAAACCCCACTGGCTACCTTGGTGCCTAAAATTGCTCTATTTATTCTGAAGATAATCTAGAATTGGAATATTGGCCTGCTCTTAAAAATTACATAATTGAAAGCTGTGATGGTTATTATGCTTGATATGGTCAAATAATCTTGTCTATGGTAACAAAGGCTACTTTTTTCATCATATCACATATTTTTCACATATTTCATTATTGTGAAAGAAATGCAGGGATAGGAACCCAAGTTTGCCAGCATATCTTTTATTTCTCTTGATTAGGCCTGGTGGGAAATGTGTGCAAGTTCTATCCCATGGACAATTGGCTTGGTTTTTATTGCCTTATCCTTTTAGGGTTTGATTGCCTGCAGCCAGGATACAGACCAGGTGAGCAATGCCCTGGAAGAGCGTGGGCCACTGTGGGATTGGTTAAGACGATCACCCTATTACCTAGGTAGAGAACAGCGAGGCATTTGTCCTGCTCTTTGTCTTAATTGCCTGTGGCTTAGCTTGACCAATTTTGCAGAGTAAGGCTTGTTTTGTTATTTTTCTGTCAAGGGAAAGTGCTGAAGAGTTTGTACATTTGGGCCTTGGGTTATAACCTGCCCTGGTGTTTTATTTCTTAATTGTACTTTGTACTCTTTTCTCTTTTTAAAAAATCCTAGTCCCTTGACCCATTCCCTTTTAAAGTAAAGCCAGTGCTTAATTCAGTGCCCAGACTGGAGCAGATTGTTCACAGAGTACCTGGGTCAAGCTGTAGAAACTCTGTAGGGTTCCTTATGCTATTTTACTAATAGGCATTATGTACTAATTCTGTTTAGCACAGAACATTGTGTCATTCAATAGTTACTCCAGAGACTGCAAAGTCATCTGCATGGCAGATGCCTTGAGTCCTGGTTTGTGCAGTCCAATGCCATGCTACACAACCAAGATTTTTCACAACATACATGAATTTATCCTCATAAAAGGAGAAGCTGGGAATTGCCTAAGAAAGGCTGGGAAGTATTGCAAGCAAGCCGGGATTCGAACCAAGTCTCCACCACTCCACATCAGTTCTATTGTTCTAAAGTCCCGGGAAAGACAGGTGTTTCTTTTCCCAGGGTACCCCAGTGCTACGGGCAGGGAGCTAGCCATGCGACTGCACAGCCTGTGCCCATCTTGCAGTTCCGTCAGCCATGTGCACACCATATTGGACTGAGAACCCCTCGTGTGTGAAAACCACGGTGATCAGTTGAGAATGTGGACATGTTGCAAAACAAACACTACAGGGATGGATCCCAAATGACATAGATGACAGCTTGCCATTTCAGAAAAGAAGTGCAAGATTCTCAACACAAACAAAGGCAGGATCAGTGAAAAGCTCCTGCTGGGATGAAATGAGAGGAGAACTCCTGTGCCTTTGCAAAGGCATGCAAGAGACTTATTGGAAGAAGTAAGGTCTAAATCTATCTCTTAGCCAGAGTGCAAAGTTCCAGGCCACTGGGGAAAGGCTTTTGGGTGCATGATCTTGCTGTGAATCATGGGGGGTCACCTGATTAAGTCCGATGTATCTAATCTTACACCACAAAGAGGAATTTGCTTACCTGTCCCTGAGAATTGTCCACAGTTCTCCACCTAAACAGGCTTCCATCAACATATATAAATATTTGCTGTCCTTGAATGTTCTATATAGCCTATAATGGAAAGAAAAGGAAAACAGCAATGCATGCTATCAGCTTCCACAGCAGTCTGAAATATTAAATCGGATGGATGGATGGATGGACAATAGAGAGAGGAAGGGAGAATGAGAGACGGCACTGCTATATAACAATATCTCTGCTTGACTTGGGCACAAGGAGCACTGAGATGCTAAATCCCAAAAAGCTTTGCAGTGCAGAATTTGTGAGAAACTGAAACTATACAATCTTTGGCACACTCCCTTGGAAAACGTCTCATGGAATTCAGCAGGACTCACTTCTAGTGCACAGGGCAATCAATAATTCAATCAATATGGCACAGCTAGTTCAGTGACAGGCTTCCAACATGGTGTTGCAGAAGGCTTTCCCCCCTTGATTTCTGAGGCTACCTCTCTCATGTGCAGAAGAGGTACTTTCTTTCTTCCACAGAAGGTAATAAGTGACAGAGGGAAGCAGGCATTTTCCTTAATTTATTTTCCTGGTGAGAGAGAGAGAGTCACCCATCTCTGCTCCATTTGCTAGGCACTGAAGGGCATTTCAGCAGCCTCTGTAGCTGACAGCCGATTGACCTATACAAGTTCACTATGACTGTACTTCTGAAACTGAAAAGGGAATGTTGCACATCTGAATGCTCCGCCAGCACTCATGTGCCAGGCACAGCATTTTAACTTAATCGATCCATCAGCCACTTTATTAGGTGCAGGGGTTGTCATCATGGGAAAGCAGCTTTTCAGAAAAAGCTCGTACTTTCCTGAACTTGCATTGGCATTCAAAAAATGCATTCTCTTAAAAGTGTGCCCTGAAAAAACAGCCTTTAACACTTCCCCACCACACACAGGCATTTCACACTTAGGCTGTGGTGGTAAAGAGGAACAATTTGGGTGCACAGTTCTAAGGGGGGGCGGGAATGTAAACCTTTCCTGTTCAAGCAAACAGAAAACCGGATCACAATCTAAATAGGGAGTCAGGTGATCAAAATTTCAAGGTGGCGTTCAGAGCACCTTGGCGGCGTTGCGTATTGCTGCTGCGCACCTGAAATAGATTTATCAGAGGAAAATGATGGTACCTCACAATAAAATCTGAGTGAGCCCCTTGCATTATCTGCTTCTCCGAGCGTATGTGTTCCTGCTGCCTTGTGTCCACTATGTGCCGTTTCTTTAGGATCTTCATGGCAAACGTTTTGCATTCATCGCTTTTCAACTGGACCTTGAGGGAAAAACACACAAACAAAACAGAAACTTAGATATGAATATGTTTCAAAGGGCTGCTCTAGTTGATGGACTAAGAGGTACCATTTTTCAGCCCTGGCCAATGTTGTGTCTAGTTCCGTGTTCCCTCACGTCTTCTTTTGGTTTGAGGCCCTCTAGCAACAAAATACCAGCTGCTAGTTTATCCTACCAGGCCTACCCATTCTGATGGTGGTTATGAGCGCGAGCTTACTAAATGGATTACAAACCCCCATTTGATCCTTGCAGCAACACCCCTGTGAGGTAGGGCGGACTGTGACTGGCCTCAGGGCCCCCAGTGAGCTTTATGACTGATTGTGGACTGGCAGCCACGTCTCCTGAGTCCCAGTCCAACACCTGAACCACCTCACAGCATGAGCTGTCAGAAAAATAGAGATTTGGTGATCATTTGCATGCTCCAAATTGACATTAAAAATCTCTTTCTTTTTTCTCTGCTTGATATCTGTAGTGCCCACCATTTTAAGCAATTATTCAATAATTATTTATTTAAACGGTTTCTATAGGCTGCCTAATAAGAATGGGCTCTAGCTGACTCACAGTATTTAAAATATATATTTAAAAAAACCAAAAACCAGAAAACAACAAACTGTGTAAAATTTCCGGCTGGCAATGGTAAAAAAAAAAAAAAAAAAAAATACAACATCAGTTAAACACACACACACATGCACACACACACACACAATAGTGGATTAAAATTCACAGCCATTATTAATTTATTATATTGCTATCCCACATTTTTCCTTTCAAGGAATTCAATGTAAGATGAACTGTTTTAAGGAGCTGGAAGGATAAATCTTCAGCCACCTCCCAAGTGGCCGTGAGGATGGCACCCAGTGATTCTCTCTGGAGAGTCATTCCATGGCATGGATGCCACCATGGAACCATCCTTCGCCCTAGTAGCCATCTACTTTACACAGCACATAGCTGAGCTATGGAAATTACTACCACAAGCCGTGTAATGGCCACCAACTTAAAAGAGAACAGGATGAATTCAAGCGGAAAGGGCTATCTATGACTACTAGTCCTGATGGTTATACATTACCTCTGATATCATAAGCAGTATGCCTGTGTACACCAGTTGCTGTGGAATATGGGCATGAGGGCATGAGTACTGTTGCACTCATGTCCTGCTTGCGAGTTTCCCATGGGCAGCTGGTCAACTACTGTGTGAACAGAAGGCTGGACTAGATAGACCTTTCATCTCATCCAGCATGGCTCTTCTTACTCCTTATGAAGACAATGAATAGGTAGAGGATGCTGATCTTTCTACTTTCCTACCACAGTTGGAATGAAATGCTCTCCTCTCCCCTTGCATTGAAGAACCTTTGGAGGATTTGTGCTGATAGGATTTTTCCTGCCCTTATTTCTGAGTTTTCTAGCTGTGTTTTGTGGTGGTATGATGGATTTTATTCCACGCATAAGGGGAAAGTCAAGAGGTGGGCCTATACATGCCCTGATTTCCTAGTAGCCCCCCCCCCTTGTGATTATTTATGGAAAAACAAGATCTGTAGCTGCATATTATGTACTAACTGGACATCTGTTTCGCCCCTTACATATATGGAAGTTCTTTCAGCTAACTCTAGAAGGAAATTACTCTTGCATGTTTTCCTGACAAAGTATATTAAGTATTTATTCTATATTGAAAGCAACTTTCCTAATTACCTTAGACACCAGGGAGCAAAGAAAACACCCTCACACAAGAGAAATAAAGTGTTGTTATAACTCCAGAATACTTACAAATGCTCCTTTAAACAGAACCTAGTCATTGCAATTCTTTTTCCTTCAATGGAGTGAACTGGCCTTCAAAAATCCACTGGATATGCTTACTCATCATAAATCTAAATACTGAATTTTTGCAAACCACCTAAAGACCTTTGGTTGTTGGGAAGTATAGAAATAAAACGGAAGCAACAATTCAGGTGTCCAACTTCCGAACATGTTTCTACAATACAGCCCTTGCAGAATTTCCTTCTTGGAATTTTCCCCCCTCTTTTTAATGCGTATTCATCAGTTTGGTAGTACTTAATTTTTTAAAAAAGTCTGTTGATCCATGGGTAGGGTATGGGAGGGAAATTATTTGCCTTGTGCCAACCATCAGCACTCTGTACAGCCAGTTTCTGCAGCAGCAAACTAGAAAGGAAACTATTCACTGGAATACGATTGCAATGAGAACACTTAAACAGCACCTCAGTTGCTCAAATAAGGTCCATTTGTATGCAGCCCCAGACCAAAAACTAATTTGTTTAACAACCCGAGTTCTGTGATGGCTTGACATCACCAGTCTGCAGCAGATGAGGAAAACTCTTTTTTTCCTTGCAGTCACTAAAAGAGAACAATTTGATCATTTATTGTAGTTTTTTGTCTAGAGTCTTCTTTTGAATTCAGTTGGCATTTTCTTCAATAGAAACGAACTTGAGCAATGCACCAGCTTGGCCTTTAAGATTGGGATAAGACAAGTAAAATTAAGAGTGCCATATAAGGAAACTGAGTCAGGAAGTTAGTTTTCAGAAAGAATAGACTCTTGCTTCCCAAGAATGAAAGGATGTATATGTTTTTTTAAAAGCACAATAGGTTAGATGGAGTCATAAAATAGGCCCATTGAAATAGTTTGGCTCAATTTGACTGTTAAAAATTTCTCTACTGACCCATAGCAGAAGCTGTCTGAGAAGCCCCTAGTCATGACTTTTCTCAAGGTTGCATGCATTAGAGTTTGCTTCATGCAGCAAAGCAAGGATTTTGTTGGTGTGACTGAACAATCCATGTGGCAAATTATGCCAAATGTTATGGTGAAATGAGAAGAATCACCATATGCAAGTTGGCTACTGAAATGATTTGCAGTCTCTCCTTCATCTGTGATGCTTCACGTAGGATGAGAGCTTAGATGCTCACTACCTAGGACCACCTCACAGATAAAGCAAACGGTGTGGGAGCCTCTTTCCCTTAGTGCAGCTCCACACCAGTAGAAAAGCCTGTTAATATGGTGGACCCAATGAGCCAGTTGCAGTTCCAACGCTTGCTAGCATTAGGGTGCCAATCAGGTAGAAACTAAAAAGCAAGCCCCACCTTCATGGTTGTAGAACTTGTACACACTGAGGAACAGAATGAGACTGTACCATGGCTCATGTCCTTGTGTGTGCGAGGAAGAGAGAAAGAGAAAAGAGGGCCTTACCTTCTTAAAAAGCACCTGAAGCCAGCAGAACAATTCTACAAACAGTAGTTTATAGATGGGTAGTAATAATGCTGGATTTGCTGCAGATTTAAGCAGGTACAACTGGGCTGGTGGAAGCAGAACTTCTCTCCTCTCATCCCAACTGCTTGAGCTCTTAAAAATGCTAGACAGGGTTGCAGGGGAGCCTGCGAAATGGAGTGAGGTGTGGTAGTGGGCTAGGGCATTGGCGTCCCAAAAATTTGGACAGAGACACCTTCCATGGGAGGAGCTCTTCTATCCATTAAATCTGGGTCTTGAATCTAGGACTCTTTAAAAAAAATAGCACCATGAACCTAGGATACTTTGAATCATGTGGGATAGAAATTAATGGCCAAGTTAAACAATTTGTATGTCTTATTATCTGTCTCATTTATTTCCACAGAAGAGTTAATTAAAGTGTTTCAAAGATTTGAGTTCGAACCAAATCTGTGCATAATGTTTGAAAAGTTAAGCGCACGTGAAGGCACGGACTAAGCATCCAGGGGGTTCATTGGGCATCCCGCAACACTAAACTGAAGGGGACATTCAAAGCGATGGAGATGCTTTCAGACCAACCCCAGTGCTCTTAAAACAAGGCTTCCATCTTCATCATAAGGTGCAGGAGGCATTTGATTTAGAATGAGCACCAGGGTGTGCAACAGCGTGCCTTGCACAGTAGCGGCATGCCTGCCACATCAATGACCTAGTGATGGAGAGGATGATCCTACATTCCAGTGCATGGCCCTTCCACCCCGATTCCTGCATGCAGAAAGCGGTTATGGGATCATTTCCTGATGGGATTGATTCTTCATAGCATAATCCAATTGTTGTTCCGAAAATCATTCTGAAGTTTACAAATATTTATCATAATTCAAAGGAAACAAAATGAAGATAGGCAGCAACAAAGGATCCTTGTATTAGGTACCAAAACAAATGCAAATGAATAATAAATACCTATGATTCAGATTAGGTGGGTCTTTTTTTGTTTTGTTTTTTATAAGGTTTGTTAGTGATTTTCTGTTTATGTATTGGTTGGTTGTTGCTGAGCTATTGGGCTGTAAAAAACAAATGACAAAAGAAAACAAATCCTATTTGTAATGCCTGCATTACTGACATGGATGGTGTACTGGCTTTTGTTTGAAATTATTCATGTTGGCAGCTGTTTTCTGTTTATTGAATGCATAATTCTGAAAGAAGCATGGGCAATTTGGCAATGCAGCTAGATTGCATAGTAAATGCAGAACTAATTTTTGTTCTGTTTTAATGCTTTGCATACATAGTGCCATGCAGAAATATTCACCTCTCTTTGACTTTTTCACAATTTGTTGTGCTGCAACCAACAAAAGCTGGTCTGTTCTGTTTACTTTTGTGCCACTGTAAAAATACTTTGCACCTTCACAGTGTTTGGCATTGTTGCCACAAAATATTCATATATATAATCTAATCCAGCTCAATTACTGGTTGTAAGACAACGAACTGTGGAAAAGTCAATGGGTGGTGAATGCTTCTATAAGCAATGTAACTTTTCATAGAATAGGATAAATGCAAAACGTCATCAGAGAAGTTTTAAGAGGAGCTTTTTCCTTTTAGTTGTGTAAATAAAGCTACCCATTGTCCTGTGAAGTGTTGCATGAAATATGAGCTTCATGTAAAGAAAACAAATGAATGCTACATCATGGAAAATAGGTCTCTTCCTTCTTAAGCCAGCATGTACGTGTCATCATGGGCTGAAAATGCTAGCACCTTCTGACAAATATGGAAAATTGAAAACA